CGCAAAGAGGAGTACCAGGGGGTCATCGCCTGGCAGGGCGACTACGGGGAGTTCGTCATCAAGGACCCCGACGAGGTGGCTCGGCTCTGGGGCGTCCGCAAGTGCAAGCCCCAGATGAACTATGACAAGCTGAGCCGGGCCCTGCGGTGAGGAGGGCAGATGGGGGTGCTCTTGCTGGGTGGGGAGCCCCTGACCCACAGGAATAGGCGTTGGGTTTGACCCTTGGTGTTGCCAGAGCACAGCTGTATGGCCTGTGGCAAGTCCTAATCCTTTTCGGAGCCCTTTGTCACACACAGGTGTCACTCGTGGGTGTGGCCTCTGGTCTGGCTCCAGCCCACCGCAGAGCTGGGCCCTGCTCTCTGGGCACCGTGTTTCTCGGTTGCCCTTTGTGAGCAACACGCGATGCTACGGCAGTGTGGAGGTCTAGACCTGGATTCCCTGTGACTGACTGTCCACTGGTGTTTCTGCACCCACAGCTATTATTATAACAAGCGCATCCTGCATAAGACCAAGGGGAAACGGTTCACCTACAAGTTCAACTTCAACAAACTGGTGCTGGTTAACTATCCTTTCATCGACGTGGGGTTGGCTGGTGAGTACCAGGACTGGTGGGCATGGCCTCGGAGATGAGAGGGGTGGGTCTGTCTGGCTAGGCCCAGGGCCTTGACACCAACTCTGTCCTTCCCTGCCAGGGGGTGCGGTGCCCCAGAGTGCCCCGCCAGTGCCATCGGGCGGCAGCCACTTCCGCTTCCCTCCCTCCACACCCTCCGAGGTGCTCTCCCCCACCGAGGACCCCCGCTCACCGCCGGCCTGCTCTTCCTCCTCCTCGTCCCTCTTCTCGGCTGTGGTGGCCCGACGTCTGGGTCGAGGCTCAGTCAGTGACTGTAGCGATGGCACGTCGGAGCTGGAGGAGCCGCTGGGAGAGGACCCCCGGGCCCGTGCGCCTGGCCCTCCGGAGCTGGGTGCCTTCCGAGGACCCCCGCTGGCCCGCTTGCCCCATGACCCTGGTGTCTTCCGTGTCTACCCACGGCCTCGGGGTGGCCCTGAACCCCTCAGCCCCTTCCCTGTGTCGCCTCTGGCCGGGCCTGGCTCCCTGCTACCCCCTCAGCTCTCGCCGGCTCTGCCCATGACGCCCACCCACCTGGCCTACACACCCTCGCCCACGCTGAGCCCTATGTACCCCAGTGGCGGTGGGGGCCCCAGCGGCTCAGGGGGAGGCTCCCACTTCTCCTTCAGCCCCGAGGACATGAAACGGTACCTGCAGGCCCATACCCAAAGCGTCTACAACTACCACCTCAGCCCCCGCGCCTTCCTGCACTACCCTGGGCTGGTGGTACCCCAGCCCCAGCGCCCTGACAAGTGCCCGCTGCCGCCCATGGCACCGGAGACCCCACCAGTCCCCTCCTCAGCCTCGTCCTCCTCTTCCTCCTCTTCCTCCCCATTCAAGTTTAAGCTTCAGCCTCCCCCGCTGGGACGCCGGCAGCGGGCAGGTGGGGAGAAGGCTCCGGCAGGTGCTGACAAGAGCGTTGGCATTGGTGGCGGCGGCAGCACCGGGCTGGCCGAAGGGGTGGGGGCTCTGGCCCCCCCACCGCCACCACCGCAGATAAAAGTGGAGCCTATCTCGGAAGGCGAATCGGAGGAGGTGGAGGTGACTGACATCAGTGATGAGGATGAGGAAGACGGGGAGGTGTTCAAGACGCCCCGTGCCCCGCCTGCGCCCCCCAAGCCCGAGCCCGGTGAGGCACCCGGGGCTGCCCAGTGCATGCCGCTCAAGCTGCGCTTTAAACGGCGCTGGAGTGAAGACTGTCGCCTGGAAGGGGGTGGGGGCCTCACTGGGGGCCTCGAGGATGAGGGCGAGGACAAGAAGGTGCGTGGCGAGGGGCCCGGGGAGGCCGGGGGGCCCCTCACCCCAAGACGGGTGAGCTCTGACCTCCAACATGCCACAGCCCAGCTCTCTCTGGAGCATCGAGATTCCTGAGGGCTGTGGGCAGGGGACCCCTGTTCCCTCCAACCCCCATGCTTCTTTTGCTGCCTTAACCCCTACCCCACATTCCCTGGAGGTGAGGGCAGCCCTCTAGACTCCTCCCTGCCTCCCTCCTCTCCCCTCCCCATGTTTTGTATACAACTTTTCATTTTTTTTTTAATGGTGAGGGTGGGTGGGTGCCCAGGGCTGGAGGCTGCCCCTGTCTCTGGGAGTTTCTAAGCTGTGGGCAAAATGGTGGGGGGAGGAGGGGGGTATTAAGGGTCACCTCCACTCTGGGGAATTTATATTGAATTGAGGCTCTGGCCTCAAGGCCCAGGAACTTTTTTATTACAATCGCTTAGGAAGTAAAGCCTTGTCTCCCTGTCCTCTGCCTCCTGCACCCTCCCCTCCCCCTCCACCAGCACCCCACCACCCTCAGCCCCAATCCTGCCTTCCCTGCCCCTCCAGGGGCCATGAGTGCCTGGGTTTCTCATATCCCACAAGGTTGCAGCAGGAGAGGGAGGGACATTTTATGATGAACCAAAAATTCCACGTTGGGGGGAGTGGAGGGTGGAGGAGGGTGAGGGGTGCCGCTCATAGGCCACAATTCTCTACAAGTGCCTGCTATCCCTCTCCCACTCCCTGCCCCAGCACCAGTCCAACCCCTTCACCCCCAGCTGCTCCTAGGACTAGCCCATAGACAAGCGGGTGGGGGTTGGGGAGAGGGTGCCCTGAAACCAAACTGGAAGCCCCCTCTGCCTCCCAGCTGGGGCCCCTGGGGTGGGGGTCTGTGGTCAAGCCTTATTCTGTATTGGGGATGGAGGGTGGGGGGGGAGGGGAGTCGGGGGGCTGCTGGAGAATGTATTCAAAACAATAAAACTTTGGACCTTTGGATGCAGTGATCTGTACTGGGTGCAGCTATAATGGGCTTGGCTTGATTGTGAAGGACAGACTAGGCTTGGATCACTGGCCAGAGGGCCTGACCCCATCACAGTTGATCACATTCAAGCCTGGGAAATAGCGTGACCTGGGGGTGTAAGGGGGGGAGGACAGCATGTAACCCCCAGGACTGGTGATTAAGGTCTCAGGAATAGTACTAACCTCTGCTCCCCTATTCCATAGGGATCTCTGATTGTCCTTGGAAGCATTTAAGACTCCGCCATGCCATTGTCCTGACCTTCCCGTCCCGAAATGCCTTTCCTCTTGGGCTCTGATTTGCTGTGTGTGCTCCTGTGTCCCTGGTGAAAGCCAGGAGCTCCTTATTGCACCGCCCACCTCACTTATTAGGGGCACTCCTGAGTTCATCTGGGGGGTCATTTGATGTCAAGGCCTTTGGTCTCAAGATCTAGACCTAGCAAGGTGCCGTAGTGATGTGGTCAAATGGGGAACACCCTCCACCAATAGGCTGAAAAGACCAGCTTAATCATAGTGGCTGTTGACTGTCCTATACCTTGGGTCCAGTGTTTCAATACCTAGTTAGTGGCTACAGTACCGGCCTCCAGCATCTGGCAAGGCAGGGCAGGTGCCTCAGGTAAATGGACTTGTCTAAAACCCTAATCCTGTCTCTGAAGCCCAAGTTCTTTTAATAACTGTGTTTTCTTTCTGAAGCCAATGTGGATGGATGTAAGATCTGAGAGGTGAGCTGGTAAAGCTAGAGACCGAGGATAGAGTTAGAACAGGGATGCAAGAACCTAAAGAAGAAATCCAGACTGAAAGTGCTCTGAGAGTCCAGAGCCCTCATGCAGGTGAGGCTCCTGAGGCCCAGAGAGGGAAATGAGTTCCCCAAGGCCACACAGCTGCTAAGAGATGTGGGGATTGAGGGTTCCAGGCCTGTTGGACTGGCTTCACCATGAAACCTGACCCCCTGCTCTGAGGGGGAAGGAACTGGCAACCACTACCCTGTCTCCATTCGGCTTCTCAGCTTCATTTCATGCCAGCCCAGGGTGGGTGGTCTTAGATGATGTCGTTGGCAGTGAAAAGAGAATCCAGGGCTGGGGTACTGGCAGGAAAACGGCTCCTGTGGCGGCCTGTGGGCAACTGCTCCCTCTCCTGGGTGATGTAAGTCACTCCCTGGGGTGGGGGCCGCTGGGCTATTTCTGGAAGTTGGGATGAGGCATGTCTCCTGGCAACATAGATATAGCTGAGTTGGTGGTGGTGTGATGGAGAATGGGGGATGTCATCACTGTGGAGGGGAAAGAGGGGGAGGATCCTTCAAGGACTAGCATTCTCAGCTCTGATTCCAGTGCCTTCAAAGCACCTCACCAGATGGACTGAAAAGTGCTCAGTTCCAGAACTGCTCTCAGAATCGGATGGCCTAACCAGACTTGTCACCCCAGATTTGGATGAGTGGGTGGGCATTTTGGCATCTGGTCTTGAAAACTCCTGAGTCTCCTCTAATCTTTAATGACCCACCTAAGTCTCATACTTCCGGCAAAACCACACCCTTGTTTCCTTCCATATCCTTTGAGATCTTTTTCCATAGAGAAAGCTCTCTACATATCCCCAAGGACGCTTCAACAGTTAATTCACCCTACTGCACGGTATACAGCCCAGCCCCCAGCCCCCCCAACCCCCCCAAAGTCTGATCCTCAGGGCCGTCAATATCATCAGTCATGTTTCTCAGTTTTCTACACACCTTTTGGAGACACCACAAGTCTGACTGACGATTCTCCACTGGTCCCCAGTAAATTGTTCTCAGGTCTACAGCCCAGCAATGACCTTTCTTAGCGACTCCCCTTAGCACCTCAGATACCTGTAGGTCCCGCAGACACGATCTGCCCTGGCATTCTCTGCAAACATTATCAGCCCCAACAAATAACCTGGTAAAATTGCCAGTGGAGGTCGTCCTGACCCCCACGGCCCCCCCCCCAAACCCTCGTGGCAGATGCCCACGCGCGGCCCTCTGCGTATGTCTTTCGGGTTGGGCCGTTAAGTAACCGTCGTCGACCCGCCGCATGTCTACTGCTCTTGTGGGTTTTCTCTGTCCAGTTGGATTCCCCCGACTTTGGGACTTCAGTAGGATTTTAGCTTTTTGACCCTAAGCTACCGTCAGAGGGCAGCAGGCACCACTGGCCTGGGAAACTACAATTCCCAGAAACACTCGCTCCGCGGTGGGCGCGATGCAGACATTCCTTGAGAAGGGGGTGGACGCGTGTCTTCGCTTGGCCTTCTGGATAATGTAGTCCCCAGAGGACGAGTGCTCGCGTGTCATGCCCCAGGGGGTCTGTGTCCCCTGGAAATTGCAGTCCTGAACAGACCAAGTGGGTGAGATTTTCTTCAGGCTTCAGAAACGGCAGGACAGTTAATATGAACATCGGCGCGTATTAAAATGAAGTCTAGAGACTCCATTCCCATCATTCCATAGGCGAAGAGGGGCGGAGGGTGATTTTTATTGTAGTTCCAAGAATTCCCGGGAGCCAGACACACAAGAACTCTGTTTCCCAGCGCCCTTTGGGGCTGCTACCCCCCCTTGTATTAATCGATTAAAATGGGGCAATTTAGTGCGTGCACAACACGACTCGATTCTTACTGACAGCCAGCTTATTTACTTGGGCCGCCCAGTATTCTGTACTTGGGGAAGAGGGAGCTTGCTAAAAACTTGAATAGGGGTTCAATTTTCCTTTCTTTTAATGCAACCCCCAACTGCTTGATAAACCTAGACTATCCAAAGAATCTACTTTTCAGGCAACCTGCCCGGAACTTTGTTTCCCAAATCGTTTGTGGAAGCCGAGGGCGGTTTTTTTTCTTCCCATTTGTGTAAACTTGGAACTTGAAGGACTATCTGGACTCACTTTCCAGCAGTTCCCGATCGATTTCGGCGCTGGAACCTTGGGGGCAGGGAGGAAGGCGTGGAAACACCCTTCACTTTCGCCCGGGGACTAACATCCTTCACCTTTCACTTACACGCGCCTAAAATATTCACTGGACTCCATTTCCCGGCAAGCCTCCATAGTCTCGTCTCACAAAGGGCCAGGATCGGGTCTGGGCTCAGGGTAGATCCCTTCCCACTCGGTCAATGAGCGAGGCAAACTGGAACTGCAGTTCCCAGAAGACTCCAGGGCTCTAAGTAACAACTACACCGAAGCTTCAAAGCTGACTACATTTCCCGGCAGGAACTGCGGCTTAGTTTACGTACCCACTCCACTTCCCAGCCTATCTCCGGAACTGCAGAATCCACGGGGGGCGTGGGGTTGAGTGGGGGTGGTTCAGGGATTACATGGACTCCATTTCCCGGCGTGCTTTGAGAGTCGCTTTACACCTGCAATGCGGTGAGGGCGTGGCGATGAGTCCACTTCCCGGCTTGCCGCACGGCCCTAACCTACGAGTCCCCGGCGCAAACTCAGTTTCCCAGAGTGCATCTGCTATACATCGCCAATAGACTGAGAGAACGACTGAACTCGTTTCCCGGCGTGCATCAGGGTCCACAATGAGTGACGGAGTGGATGCGACTAAAACTTATGAAGTACATCTCTGATCTCGCTGTTGTCGCAATGGAGTGAGTGCTATTTTGGCTTCGTCTCCCAAGGTGTATCAGCGTCCACTGACAGCATAAGAGGCAGATATATTGCCCAGGATCCTATTTCCAAATTTCCAGTGCGACGATTATCCCCGTATTGGACGCTGAGGCCTTTGTGGACTCCATTTCCCGGCGTGCCACGCGGCTTTCTGTGTGGGCTGAAGACTCAGGTGACGGAGGCGCAGAGGGCAAGCGGACTCCATTTCCCAGCGTGCCCCGCGGCGGGCGCTG